CCAGCTTTCATTCTTGCCATGATCTTAGCTTTCAGGTCAGTTGCTGCCTCGCTCAGCATTATTGGGGCTGGCCTCCCAATCTCATCATCTGCATTTGCATTCATTGGGGCTTGCCTCCCAATCTCTGGTGTGAACTCCTCCTCTGATCTTGCAGCCTGGGGCCCTTCACCATGGAATCTGTGTTGTACCTCATCAATCTCAAGTTGTGACACCAATTGCCGTTTGTGGATTTTGGAATACTGAGCTACTAGTTGTTTCTTGGTCAACTGACTGTCTGAGCTACTAGTTGTTTCGTGGTCAACCGTGACTGTGGGTTTCGAAGTAACCATTCAGCCCGCATTCTCTGCATGTAACCCCTCTGACTAGGGTTGCTTGAGTAGTAGCATTCCAACAGAGCCATGTTATCGCATCTCGCCCATCTCCGCTTTGTTCCAGTAGCCCATTTTTCATCAAGGTGCTCTGGTTCCCCAGCACCTGACGCAGACCTTGTTTGGCCGGGCGACGTCTGAGCATGTCATTCATTTTATTGTCTCTCATCATTGTATGAGGTAGGCATTAGCGTGAAGGATCTTGCCCAAGGACCCACACTGGATGGTGTTATGTGCTCATTTTTGCCCCAAGCGGGATCGTTTTTAAGTCAAACAGATTTCAAACTGCGTCCTTTTGCACTCATGTTTATGTGACAACTGTGTTTTGGAGATTCGAGAATGCTGTGACACAAGGAGGTGTTTGCATGTGTGCTGCTCTTGCCGTTTGATAAGGCTTTTCCAGGTTCATACGCATTAGAGTGCATGTTTAATTTTTGGATATGCAGTTTTTAATATTTTCAGGATTCTTCTTCCCATACAACAAAACAAAAATGGTAATCGTTTTGGTATGTAATAATGTGCCATAATTTTAGCAATCGTAACTAAACTGAGATGCTAAAGCCATAATCCCATAATCACCACTAGCACTACAATATCATAATTTTAATGTCCAGACATGACAGATCACTACTTCACATGATGAATGTGTTCATCTTTATTTACACCAATAGCCCATTAAGGTTATTGAAGAAACTCTGACCCTGACAGCCTCGCAACTGGATCTCTGACTACTCTGCTGCACAACGCTTTTGCTTTACTTCTCCCTACAGATTGTCATCAGCAACACATGAGGTGAGTTATTACATTGTTAACCTTTGAGCCTTGCTGTGTGAAAGGCCAGAGCGAGCAGATAAATCAGCTCTTCTTTTGAGAATATTTATGCAGTGGGCTGGCATCAGGGTTGAAGTTGAAGTTGAAGTTTATTGAACATACAATACAATAACAATTTGACAAATGGCAAGCAAAAGTTACAAAAGAAAAAATAAAAAGTAAAAAGTAAGTAAAACAAACATCATCACCGTTATATGCTCAAAGGAGTAGGAAGAAGTATACAACTTATCTAGTCCTACCCCTTGTTGTGTAATAATATAAATAAATCATTTTTCAATGCAAAGGAAAAGGAAGAGATCTACATCTCATATATATATATTACCCTTATGTGTACTGTACTGAGGAGGTTAATGAAATAAAAGGAGGTTACGATACTGGAATGGCAGCATTTGAAAACTTTTGTAAAACTGGATTTCTGCATTAAAAAAGACAGAAATAATACTGAAGAAAAGGTGAGTAGCAAACTGGGCTCCCGGTTAACGTTTGGACAAATTAGTCCTCAAAAGATCATGAAACTCTGACCCTGACAGCCTCGCAACTGGATCTCTGACTACTCTGCTGCACAACGCTTTTGCTTTACTTCTCCCTACAGATTGTCATCAGCAACACATGAGGTGAGTTATTACATTGTTAACCTTTGAGCCTTGCTGTGTGAAAGGCCAGAGCGAGCAGATAAATCAGCTCTTCTTTTGAGAATATTTATGCAGTGGGCTGGCGTTATATTGATGTAACAGTGATTCTTTAGGACAGGAGGGAGACTTTTGTCTGCAGTTACAGGACATGTTTGGGGGTTTTTTTGTTTGTTTTTGATTAGTGCGAAAACTGAATGTACGTTGCAAATGGAGATCAATTGCTTTTCAAATCTTGGAAATGGGTCCGCTGCATCCATCACATGCACACACCTGCACACGAATCAGGGGTGCCGTGGGTCATTAAATGCACTAAGTCATTAAATTGATTTTTCATGAAAAAATCATTTAAAACCATTGAACACGATCTCCAGAGGCATTAAAAGAATCACCAGGAACTGGGACAAGCTACTTTGAATTTCCAGTTCCCAGTTTTGCTGCTCGTATGACCCCACCAATCTGAAGAACTTCTTGTGAATTTTTTTGGCTGTTTTGCAAACCAATTAAAAACAGCATGGCTCAGTGTGGATTGGTCATCTCCCACTTCAGATGTCTATATATACAAACAATGTCCTCCTCATCAATTATATTGATACAGCATACCCCTCCCCATGGACATCAAAAGAAAAAGGGCCACACAAACACACAATACTTGACCAAAACAGCAGAAAACAATGTCCTCCTTGTCAATTATATTGACCCAGCGGACCACAAATTATATGCCATGCTCTTTCAAAAGCAACACACCGAGAACATAATAAATCATGAATGATATTTTGACTATGAATAATTAAATAAACAACTTGGGATTTTATTTTATTCATTAACTCAATCCACTTTGACTGAGTTGGTTGTTTTTCCTTTTAGTGTGTGCGCGTGTGTGAATGTCTGTGAGATGACATTTTGGACAGAGTGCTCCTCCATTGTCATGGGGGCAGCATAGCTCAGTGGTAGAGTGGTCGTCTCCCAACTCGAGGTTGGGGGTTTTAATCTCTGGCTATTGTGACCTTGCCGAAGTGTCCTTGAGCAAGATCCTGAACCCCCTAGTTGCTCTTGATGCCGCGTCATCAGTAGGTAAATAAATGTAAACGCTTTGGGTACCAAAGGTAGAAAAGTATATCAAGGACATTTGCCGTTACGTCACAAAACAATGTACAGAAAAAAAATGCTATAAAACAAAGGTGGTTACATGTGCTACTCTGATGATATACTGTATGTTATGAATATATTTTCACATGTTCAAAATGGAGCTGCTCGGTGATCAGCGTGTAAACCTCACAGTGCAGAGGTACCGGGTTCGATTCCAGCTCCGGCCTTCCTGTGTGGAGTTTGCATATTCTCCCCAGGTGTGGGTTTTCTCCAGGTAGTCAGTTTACCTCCCACATTCCAAAAACGTGTGGTAGGTTAATGGAACACTCTAAATTGTATGCGCGTGTGAATGTCTGTGAAATGACATTTTGGACAGAGTGCTCCTCCTTTGTCATGGGGGAAGCATAGCTCAGTGGTAGAGTGGTCGTCTCCCAACCCGAGGTTGGGGGTTTTAATCACTGGCTATTGTGACCTTGCCGAAGTGTCCTTGAGCATTCAAAATGATTTTCAGATTCAGCCATCTTTTTCATAATCAGCACTGCAGAAACAATGCTTGCACAAAATCCTGCAAAATTCCTGTCAAAAATGGCTGAAATGTGACATGACAAGCCAAAGAATTGGTATCTGCCATCAAATTCTCCTCATTTCCATGTCACACCTCTGTGCGGATAGTCCCCCTTTGCTATCTATTAATTAGATGATGAAGTTAAGAGCGGGAGGAGATGGTTGTCAATGATAAATCAGGAGTTGATCAAATATTTATCTATATTTTTTGAGAGGCAAATATATTCTGAATAAATTAACCAAGTCAAATTCAAGGGAGTCTCGGAGGTTAATTTGGGGCGGTTTGGTGGTCAACTTGTTAGCACGTCAGCCTCACCGTGCAGAGGTGCAGGGTTCCTTTGTGGAGTTTGCATGTTCTCCCTGTGCCTGCGTGGGTTTTCTCCGGGTACTCCGGTTTCGTCCCACATTCCAAAAACATGATTGTGAGCATGGATGGTTGCTCGTCTGTGTGTGCGCTGCGATTGGCTGGCAACCAATTCAAGCTGTCCCCTGCCTACTTGCCCGAAGACAGCTAGCATGGCCTCTCGCGCACCCAGCAACCCTTGTGAGGATAAAGTGGATCGGAAAATGGACGGATGGATATTCAAAATCATTTTCAGATTCAGCCATCTTTTTCTCATCATAATCAGCACTGCAGGAACAATGCTTGCACAAAATCCTGCAAAATTCCTGTCAAAAATGGCTGAAATGTGACATGACAAGAACATTTGAATCACACTAGACTTTTCCCACTTCAAGATGCAGTACCGTTTCTGATGGATGGTTCATGACTGACTAAGGATGATTTGGAAAGGTGTTATAGTTCAAGAACCCCGGTTATTGCAAACACAAAAGGTTCGATAGCCTAAGGAAAGCTACTTGTAACAGCTATAGGAGTTGCTTCCTTCCTCCTCTTAAATTCCATTTTCTGTTTGGGGTTATAGTTTTTTTTGTTTCCCCAACAACCTGGTGGTCAACTGGTTAGCACGTCATCCTCACCGTGCAGAGGTGCAGGGTTCCTGTGTGGAGTTTGCATGTTCTCCCTGTGCCTGCGTGGGTTTTCTCCGGGTACTCCGGTTTCGTCCCACATTCCAAAAACATGTGTGGCAGGTTAATGAAACACTATAAAATGTCCCTCGGTGTGATTGTGAGCATGGATGGTTGTTCTTCTGTGTGTACGCTGCGATTGGCTGGCAACCAGTTCAAGGTGTCCCCTGTCTACTTGCCCGAAGACAGCTAGCATGGCCTCTCGTGCGCCCAGCAACCCTTGTGAGGATAAAGAGATCAGAAAATGGATGGATGGGTGGATGAAGTTCATTTTTATTTTGTCATATGTAAATACACAATTCCTTTCATAACTTTAATTGATCAAAAATAAATATGTTATACATTTCATCCCATATGTGTATTGGCAAGCTTCCCCACTGGACCTGGACAGTCACTGCAGCCATCTGTTACCATTTGCGCAATTCTATTACATTTGTGTGAGATGATGCATTAACATTTGAATCACACTAGACTTTTCCCACTTCAAGATGCAGTACCGTTTCTGATGGATGGTTCATGACTGACTAAGGATGATTTGGAAAGGTGTTATAGTTCAAGAACCCCGGTTATTGCAAACACAAAAGGTTTGATAGCCTAAGGAAAGCTACATGTAACAGCTAGTTGCTTCCTTCCTCCTCTTAAATTCCATTTTCTGTTTGGGGTTATAGTTTTTTTTGTTTCCCCAACGAACTTAGTTTTGCAACCAAGAAATCCCCCAACTTTTTCAATCACGGCAGTTCAAGTTCCATTTTTGCTTCAATAAATAT